GTGGGTCATTCCGAGTAAGAGTTACGATAATGTACCATCATTTGATATCGAAAGTACGGCTTTATTCGAAAAGAATGTACATGCGATCAAGCAACGATGTAATCGAATGCATATAAGATAGCCTTCTCATTTTTTGGATCGATTACGAACGTAGATTAATTGATTTTACATATAAAGCGCATTTAAACGACGCTATGAATATGATTCCTATGCTCAAAAATTACAAATCACGTAACTGAGTTCTTCAATATAAGGGTGAAGAGTGTTTTTACATGATTTATTAAGTGGAAATAAAAAATTCCCCATTTAATCACGAAAATAAAAAAATGACCCACGTCCTAGTATGTTAAATTAATGTGGCACGCATAAATTACACGACTTCAATCATTTTCTTTTTCCCATTCGACGGCCGTGACCGACACCCGGCCTGTTTGGGAAGCCGCAGAGAGGATTCTGCCGTGGGCGCGCTGATCTTGCAGCCACCAGTCGCAGGCGCATACGCGAGAATGAAGACGCAAACGCGTCTTCGTATCATTGTTCTCGGGCTTTAACACAGTCAGTCGGTGCTATTTTTGTTGATATTAATGTTAATGCTTTTGTTATTGTTGTGTCAGTTGCTATTGTTGCTGTCGCTGCTGCTGCTGTTGTAGTTATTCGCTGCTGCTGATGTTGTTGTAGTGCTGCGGTTGCTGTTGTTGTTGTAGGTGCTGCGGTTGATGTTGTTGTTGTTGTTGTTGTTGTTGTTGTTGTTGTTGTAATTCGCTGATGCTGTTGTTGTAGGTGCTGCGGTTGCTGTTGTTTTTCTTGTAGCTCTGGTGATGATGCTACTGCTGTTGCTGCTTCTCCTATGTTGATGATGCTACTGTTGTTACTGCTGCAGTTGCTTTGATTGTTGTTCTACTAGTTGTATTGCATTTCCCTTTATCCTTATCAGGTTGGATAATTAGAACGTTTTTTATACTGATAGACCCCAATGAATCTATCATTCCTATTTAGCTCTTATTGGTGGCTTCAATGCCTGCAGACTTCTTCGTCTGCAGGCATGTTTCAGGAAGGAACCGTGTGATGATACCTTAAGCGTATCCGTCAAAGTTTTTTGTCAGTTTATTGAACGACAACGTGATCAGATCTTTATTGTCCCAGTCAACATGAGTGACTTGGACGTGGGGCATTTTTTAATTTTTCAAATTATCTGAGGCATTTTTATTTCCAATTATCTGGGCCGTTTTCTATTTTCTATTATCTGGGGCTTAATCTAATTTACCTTTATGTAGATCAACATTTAAGAATCCATTCGGCATAGAATATAATGACAGCTTGGATTTTGTACAATTGCATACATTTGTGCTTTCCAATATAATGTAATATGGTATTAATTGTAATACGTAGTACCATCCGAAATATTACTCGCAATATATTGTGTTTAATAAAGCTATGACTGCGATTTTATGTGATTTATTAATACCATCACTTTCCTGAACAAGTAGAAATGTACCGGACATATGCAATATATATTCTCTTACATCAGTGGTGGGAAGACAAATTGATGGCTAGAAAATAGGTGCCACGAAGTGCTCTAAATCTGCACGAATATCGAACGAATAGGAATATCTAATATATATCGGTAATTACTTAATATCGATTTTATCGAATTCAATTGTCCATTCCGCTTGTGTCTCTATAGAAGGTGTTTTTCTGTTTATCACGCAGCTCAAAACCATCAGGATTTTTGACAAGATGTTTTTAGCCAGTCTAGGATGGAACTTCTTTGATGTGATTTGTGATTTTCTTTGTAAACGTAGAAGGAGCGATTACGTCATGTATTTGCAGAATGAAATGGCAGCATACTGAGTCGCATGTCTTGTGTCCAATCGAGAGGTTGGATGCCCCTGCGCTCGTCTTTACGATATCATCCAGTGTCGGGATCGATATTCATTCCACTTTTGAAGCGATCAAGCGGAAAGTTTCTCGTCGATAAGTCAACGGTATGCAACGAGCAGCTTTTCTAGCGAGGCCTGCAAAATTGCCGAGAGTCGTGCGCTCTATCAGCGTAAGGTCTACCTTACGTGTGCACAAGAATCTGCTGACCACTTGCAGTAGCATCATTACATTGGTATCTCTTTTCAACTATGATGTGTGCTTTTGCTGGCTCGGTTCACTAGTCGTATAAATCTACTCTTAGTATTGTCCGGACCATCTTTTATAGCATCGAAAAGCGACGTTTTGACAGTGATGGGCATATCTTACTTATAAACCACGACGCCACAAAAGCGGTGGTTACACATATACAGTATCGCAAGACATATAAATGCATGCAATAGATAGAAGCAACAGGACATTACATACGAAAGATCTACAGACCAATTCAGGTCTCTCTCGAGGCGCCAACGCATCTTGTACCGAACCATCACGCTCGAGTAATAACCAGCTCTGTAAGGCTACGCTCGAAGCGTCAGCAACCCTTTTTCCTTTCGCTATGAAAGTCAACAGGTAAAGTAGCAATGACTGACCAAGTAACAGAGGGATTTCAGAAGATACAGGTGGCTTTATATTTATCAAATGACGCGAGGTCTGTGTACATAGGTACCGTGCGCTTTTGGTACTCCTTTTTAGCCTATTTTGCTGCATTTTTGCTTACTTGAGGTGTTTTCTTTTTATGTACCATGCTATTTGGTGTATTTTTTTCTCGTTGTCTATCGTGAAATTGATAAAATTTTGCTACAAATAGGAACTTGTCATCATCCAAAAAATAAAATACTATTAGCTTGCAATACGCAAGCGTTCTGTTGAGTCGATTCTCCGTTTAAAGTATACTGTATACAAAAATGTGCGCGTTTTCTTACCCGGTGAAATCGTTTTAACAAGTAAGATATGTCGCATCTCTCCAAACTTTTGTGCCGGCTATGCTCGCTACACACAAAACGCACTTTAGACAAGTACACAGCGCTTTCTAGTACACTTATTGACATGAAGGCCACACTAAGTGATGTCATAGTCCCTGCAATGACAATACTTGCTGCCATGTGTTTGGACAGTCGCCTTGCGCTCATGATTATCTGAGTTCAGCCATGATAAAGCCAAGATTTGTTCGTGCTGAGTAAAGCTTGTGCCGTCGGTAGCATACACATCACGTTCATATGATACATAAACTGTTGGCTAACAATTTAGAAAATGATTTGCGCGCGATTGACATGCCCATAACATCGTAGATGTGACCGGTGCAATGATGCAAAGAGTAATATAGCCATGGTGGCGCTGCGTATCATTCCACAACCACCTCTTTAGCGAGGCTATACATCATCAATTCATCACTGGCCACCTATAATTTGCTGCCCGTTGTCCGCGGCAGAGCAACAGCCATCTAAAAGCAGCTGCATTACTGCCCGCCGAGCATTGAACCTGGCTTATACAGATCTGTTGCGATTATGTCGTGGGAATCGATAGAATGCAATAACATCAGGTGCATGATGTAGCCCAACGTACTATTACGGTGCTAGGGCCAACACGTTTGAATGTAACGCCCGGTCGCGCATAAATCTACAACACGAAAATATGGTCAATTTGTAGTCGACCATGACCGTGGATGACGGGAGTAAAATGTATGCGTGTGTTTGTGTAGGAGGAGAACAAGTAAGCTGAACGCGACGGTAGCACCAAGTTGTTCATATCCAATGTTACCAAGTCAAGTACATGCCTAATCACCCAGATAGCAGTTGCCTTCGTCGCGCTATCACACTATGAAACCCGCAACAGGATATACTACAGCGCTTGGCGATGACGTGCGGTATCGAAAGTCCGTAGCTCGACGCGCCACTATCGAAAGCACAAAAGATGGTGGATCAAGCCGCCAATATCGCGAGGGCATCAAATGGCCGGTGTAGACAACCGATAAAGATCGCAGCCCATTCTCGAAAACACTGCGTTTCATTCCGATACTGACGTCAGAAGTGGACCCATGAGAGCCTGGTGGAAAATGAATAGTCGCAGAAGTACATGCGACCTCGTCATAGGCACAAGTGTTCAGCACCGACTTTCCGCATGCCCACGAAGCAGTAACGGACACGGGCTTTTTGTCTGCTGTTGTAGCCCAGAAATGTAAATACTATTATAGTAGCGCATTTGAAGCGAGTTATTGCGGAAATTGGAGATCGCTGGAAGTATATATATGTAATACCTCACCCCTTCACACTTTCTGGCCATCATGTACCAGCTTGCCAAACTTTCATCTTTTCGTTGAAATCCTTTATGCTGTAATAGTATGCACTAGATATGATACAAATAATGCTTTCTTACGATGCAGCGCTTTCCTATTTGGCAGACCACGAGACACTCATAGAAGCACAATCCAAAATCCTGCTTATCCTTTCACATCCGAACGCTGATACATTCGGCACGAAAACGCACATAATATTTGCAACGCGAGGAGGCACGACAAGAACAACAACAACACGACTTATAACATTGCGTCCGTCCAGAGTATGTCGCTTGGTACATCTCTGCCGTCGATAATATCTCATTGACGCTGGAATGGCTGCCTGCGTCTGTCAATACTGGCTCAAATGCACAAGGTTAGACGATCGCTCGCTTGTGTACCTCCTTCTACATCGCAGCTAGATTTTTGCTTGTCACGAAAAGGCAGCGCTGTACTATGACGCTGTGGGCTATCCGATCTTCACTATCAAAACAACATTACCTTGGTTCAGGAAAGCGACCTTGAAAGTGCAGCCCCATCGTACCGCTGCACCCAGCAGCTGTACAAAGCCCATGATGCTACCTCGCGTCGAATCGACAAGAGACGACCTGAACTCCACCAGCGCTTATGTCGGAACATATTGTCAGAAATAAGGCCGCTCGACCAACAGCAAGTCCATTTTGCTCATAGGCTTGTAAAGAAGTCAAAATGCGTGGGGGTACGTTCAAAGGGAAAGACGTTGAAATCCTCGTCGTCAATTGCAATTGATTCGATTCTTTCGACGTTTATTTGACGTTTTCCATGTCATTCATTTTGACAGATGCGAGAACGCTGACGAGAGCGTCTTGTCAGCACGCAGGCACTTCGATTCCGAAAGACTGGACGGATACGCGATATTAGCGTCCACTTCACGCTCAACCATAACGACGTCGCCCGTGATGCTGATCATGTTGTACACTTGATTGCGGTACAACTGACTGGACTCGATAGGAACGAGGCGAAAAGTCAGCATTCCATTTCCTCCCAGCGAGCGCACGTGTGCACGGACAATCGCGATAGCCTCCGATAAGAACAAATGGTAGAAGGCACCCAAACCGCCGCTCTCACGCACCGTCCAGCTTTCTTTAATAAAATGCAGTGTCACGCGACCGAGGTAGCGCGTCACGCGCGCTCGAGGGATGTACCCAAGAGGTGTAAGCTCGATCCACTCGCGGCCGTATGGCGTGGCCGTCGATCCACGACCAGGGTCAGCTAGCAGGGCATTGCTCCCATGCAGGTGAGCCAAATTTCGCTCAGGAAATGGCATTCGAACATGGAGGTTGGATATTTCACCTGCTGTACCGAAGCGCAGAGCGCCTTGTATAGACGGTGAAGTCAAAATAGACTTGCCCAGAGGTGGATATTGAGGAACCTCATCCTTTTTCAGCGTCGATGCGGCATCGTTCGAAAGGATGTCACATGGGCCTCTTTTCTTACCCTCCAACATTGCCATACCACTCAACACCACTTCAAGCTGCACCAAAATAACATGAATTACACAAGGTGATACTACTATTCACCTGATGCAATCACGGGACGTACCATTGTTTCAGAAGCCACTGCAACTCGAGTCTTGATGCCGCATATGGCACAGGGAGCATACGGACCAACTTTGAATAGCAAACTACAAAGTAGAAACGCAGAGGGTCTTTGTTCAGCGATATGTGCTGCATCAGATAGTACATAGCTCAGCGACATTGTACCTCGCGAAGAGCTCCTTGAATACGGCCGACAGCAGTTCGTTTAGGCGCGTATCCCGCATTCGGTCTTCGTCCCATTCCACTCGCTTCATGGAAACAATGAGGTGCACATTCTCACCAGGTATAAAGTCTCCAGGCAGACGGTCCGTGTTGCACATGTATATTCCCTATATTGCATGAAATCGAAGAGAACTGAAATCGGCTACTTGAGGCGCACGAGCATAGGCGCAAATAACGCACCTCTGGCAATTCTTGTTCAAGCAACACCGACATCAGGTCTTCATCCGTCTCATCGTCAATCTCCAGTACAAATGTCTCCTTTGAATCGCTAAAACCATCGATAAATGATTCTTCCTCCGAGTCTGAACTCGATTCGGAAGATGAGCTAAGCGTCGCTGACTCATTGCCGACACGTGTCGAGGAGTTAAGATCATGTTGTGCCTCTAAGCCACAATAAGACGTTGTTGTGTCAACGACTTGAGGCGAGACCGAGATTTCCGGCGCGGAAGAGTAAACCCCATTTGTGCTGTCCGAAACTGGAATTTTGTCTTCGGAAAGAGGCTGAGGTAACAGCTGTCTTCGGCGCGCCCGTCTTGAGGATTTAGACGTAGCATTCAAAAACAGGCGCTTATACATTTTGCAAGCTGCGTCATCCGGGTCCAACACCAGGGAACTGCTGAGCTGGCGTTGGCTGTTACGCACGTTCCTTCCCTCGGTGCAATACTCGTACTCGGGCTGAACAATGCAGACGCAGGCGCGATGCAGCTGTTTGCACAATCGAGACCCGGCAACAAAACATGAGAGTTGAACGGACATTTGTAAGCGGCTGCAGATCAAAAGAAAGCTCACCCTGTCCTTGTTAAATGTGCTAGCTTCCTCAATTTGCGCTTGTAGTTGAACGAGGCGTCGATCTTCGTCGTCTTTTACCTGATCAAATAAGCGTATCTATATTACACAAAGCAATTGAGCGCAGTGATACTTATTCATCAGCGTACATCGATGTTTCGCTCAATCCGAAGCGTTGGTGGAGGTGGAAGAGCAGGGAGATAGAGGCCAGTCCCAGTAATTACACCGATCACAAGCGATCCGCCGACCTGAATTTGAGAGTCGAAAGCGAATACGGCATTCACGCCGAGCACTTTCATCTTGACGATAAGCTAGAAAAGAGCCGTAGAGACGTCACTTCGTGCTTTCCGCCCGCAAAACGTAACGCAATCGCTAACCTGTCGATACAGCTCGTACTCGAGAAATGGCAACGCATCCGACACGATTGTCGCACTGACATCACCGGTGCCCTTCTTGCGTTGACGACATACTCGAGCCTGAACGAAAGTTCCTTTTCCTATCATGGCAAGGCCAGCGGGAGGTTCGATGGACGCGATCATCATTTCTGGAACCCATTTATTTCCACATACTCCGCAACGGACCATACGCATACTAAACACATTCACGTAGACAAAAAGTAAAAACCACGATAAACATGCAATTGATGCAGTGGTGTCAACGCACTTGGAGAAGGGCGCCAGAGATCGTGAGTACGGGATGTGGCACAAGAGACAGGATGATTGGGAAACTTGGTTTCTTCTGCACGGTAACACCACATAAGCGTTAGTTCCGAGGAGTGGCCCAGCAGAATGTTGTGTACGAAAGTCAAGAAACCTTGTCTTTACTCTGCGGTGTACGACTGCTGGAGGTTGCATCGTACAGGAGAACGAAGGACTCCGTCGACTAAGTGGGGCAGAAGACTCTGGAAGTGGTAGATTCAACATTGATGACGATGCTGCGTGCGCATCAGTCGCCTCGTCTTCTACATCATAACCTGCAGTCACGTCTCGTTGAATTGGCCGATCTTTTAGCGGATTTTTCATGACCGCAGCAGTTCCGCTGACCACCAACAAATTGGTTACATTTCGCACATATCACCGACTTGTTAATGTAGCAAAGAGCATACGTACGAGGCTGAAAGTACGCAGACGTCGTCGTGGATCGTGCATGATTCTGTGTAGCCGATAACAAACAGGCATTGCAGTGACTGTGCATGAGCCCGGATCTGCCATTTTCGCAAAATGCATATATCATCAGTTGCGTCGCCCAGGTCCCAGGTAATTCAGAACCCTAAAAACGTGCCTCTTCACGGAGCTCGAGCCACCAGGAATCTCTTGTTTCCTGGTCAGCTAGCTTTGTTGCTAATTTGCCTAAATATTTGACAGAGCGCGCGCTGACGATTCCAGCCAACCGAATTCTTGTCGCAGGGTTAAACACCTTAAGCGTGATCAATTGCACCTCCTGCAACATCGCAGATACCGCAACTTTTAATACCATCAACGTGGAATCAAGCTGATCGCATCCATCACTCACGTCGTGGGCGGAGATATTGAACGCTTCTGGTGCTTTGAAGGACTTGAACAGCACTCGATTTCGTGGATAATACCGAGGAGACACCAACGCATTCACACTGTCTCCTGTTGTCACAGGTATATTGTCGCTATCCAAGTCCACCGCGCTGTCGTGTCCATCCTCACTATGCGTTTTTTGCTGACCAATGCTACCACTTTCGGCCAAGTTCATTTCTTCGTTCTTTCCCACAACTGAAATGTAACAAGCAGTACCGCACGCACGCGCTACCAAGCCGCTGTCTCCTTCGACATCAAAGAACTGTTTGTACGCCAAAACAGCATTCCCTCCCAGCTCCAGCGCTTTCTTGCCTACCAGTGTCACTACTTGAGAGGATAACTTATACAGCAACAACTGCCGGTGTTCATTGCTCTTTCGAGACGTGCGAAAGTTGTCACTCCATGAGTACTCAGGATCTGCATGCACAACGAGCTCCTCGACAAAGCCCAGCATACTCTCGATCCGATATAAACCCGGATCCAACGTCGAAAGTCCAAAGAACTGGACACCCGCCGAGGATTCTCGAAAAGGATTGACATCTCCAAAGTACTGAAGCCGAATCACAACACTCAGTTCGCATCGCACACCAAGGAGCGTGTCGTACACTGGAAACCATCCCTGGATCACATGACCGTCTCGCATCAACAGACAGTTCAGGTCAACGTACACGACTCCTACTGTTGCATCTGATGTGTACACGTCATGATCCATCAGTTTGAATTCGATCGGTTGACTCTGTAGTACCGAGTCATCCGCGACGTCAAAGCGAAACTCTTCGTCCCACTTGGGGTTCAACGTCTTCTTTATCACAGAGGATTTGGCTTCAAAGCTTGCAAAGACGATACACACGTACGCGTCCGCCAGCTTGCTCGTGCGCTCTTCGATAGGCATGTCGCGCGCTTCAACAAGGCGGATCTTGATCGTGCATGGCATCCCTGGTTCGGGTCTGCTTCGTTCAGTCTGTCTGAGGGCTTGTAATCGGGTGGGTGATTGTGTATTGATTCGTGGAGGGTTTGATGCAGGGGTAGCCGTGTTCTGATTGGTGGAAACGACACGTCTTGTTAGCAAGTATTGCCCGGTCGCGTAAGGTTGTATGAATGTGTGCGGTACAAAAAAAAGACTTGCTCGATATTTGGGTGAAACATGGAAAAAACGCACTCATTTGGAGCAAGATTATGTACAAATGCTCGTCACGGTAGCCGCATCTGTGCTCACCTTGGCGTTGTCGTTCTGACTAGGGCTTGTGGCTAAAATATAGGCGAGTTGGGGCAGGCGCGTATTATTATTGGACTGTAAGTGGTCGTCGTCACGGGCGCTGGCAATCGGATTTGATAGCGCCTGGCGCAAATGACCTTTTGACAGACTCGTGGTGTGACGTTGTCCTCGCTTCACTTTGAAAGAAAAAGGTTCGATGAGGTATGAACTAAGCTTGAGCAACAGAACGAAGGGATGCACCACCAGAATGTAAAATGTGTTGTGTACGAGCGCAATGTCGGCGATCACCAATGAAAACTATTTCATCTAAAAGGTAGCATATTGACTCGAAACTTTCATCGGGCTAGCGAGGTGGCCCTACTACCTGCGATTGTGCGTCGTCTGCTAATGCCAATCACGGGGCGTTGTTTACTTTATTGACTGAGCAGCTTACTCTTGCAGGTCCGTGTGGGTAGGATGACATGCCAATGCTTTCACGCGCACTGATGTTGTTTTGCGCGACATAACGAAGCACACGATTCATGCACGCATTACTGCTCAGTTTAGGCGATGAAGAACGCCGATGAGCAAACAGTCTGTTGATGGTTGGTACACACTTCACTCGACTTCTTTTCTTTGATGCTAGTCGACTCTTTTTAGTTGCCTTGTACTACGCAAGCACACACATTCGACAGCTTCGAGGAAGCAGTTTGATTGCTTGTCTCTCTAGAAGCAGGGGTGATGAAATCAGTGAGCGGCCGTCAAGCACTCCTTGCTTTTGTGTTCAAGTGCGCCACAATAGCGATTTCCCGTCTACTTAAGCGCACTTGTATGGAAGGATGTATCTGAGAACCATATCTATGTAACAAATTTGTACAGATTGCATCGACCACTAACTAAAAGGCTAGGATAGAATGCATTCGGTTATTATATGCGGTCCCTGAGTCTGCGCATAAAATATGCAATATCTCTTGGGTGACGCTAGTCATGGTCGTCATCTCGATTTGCGTCAAAGTTGTATAACATACAAGACGATATCAAGCTCGACACGAGAATGTGTTCTACGTAGTTCTGACGAGACGTTACTTTGTGCTTCTCACTTATCATGTCATGTAAACGGGTTGAGTGCATATTGTTTGATGTGGGGATTGAGCAAAACTTGTGGCATTCATTCAGCGCAATGATGGGGGATTGGATTACTCACCGGCAGATCATGTGTAAAGAGCTTTTGCAACAAATAGGCGCACCATGATGTGGATTTTGCAGAGAGCTCCACTGTTTTAAAAAACGTACGAAGCACTATTTCGACTGTGTAGTCCGCGATGGAAATGCCGAAGAGCGATAAATGATCGACTAGTGTACGAACCAGCTTCGACCATTTCTCGCCACGATATTGGTGTATTAGTCATACGTCGCATCGTTCTGTTACCTTCGAGAACAATGTAGACGGACAGTATTGGTAATAGCGCTTTCTATTATATTTTGCATGGAACAGGTATGAAAATGAGCTTAAATGTTGAAACTACTTAGTACGTCCTGTTTACGATATACTAAAAATAGGTTTGGCTGCGGTTTTGACTCCAGACACTTATATTTCACGGATCGTTGGTTTGCGCTGCTATTCTTGCCAATCCCTCAGTTCTCAATGCAAGCGCAATGCAATATGCGGTAATTTCAATGGATCATGTGCATTTATTGTGAGAGAAAAAAGCGATAGCATGTGCCTCCCTCAAACGTGCTTTTTTAACGCGCATGCTTCTCAGTAGATGGAGCTTACTGGTGTATGAAAGAATACAAATGGTGGATCACATCGCGACATTATCAAATAGTACTTGTACTTCCGGCGACACTCAAATTTCATTCGAAGTAGTTCTAGGATGTAATACGTGACATGGAATACTATACCCTTATGATCAGAGAATATCAAAGTAAGTCAGCAAAACAGGTTCCGCCTCAATCAAAGCAATGACCTCGTTAATTCTTATGAAATTCCATTTTTTTCGTTTTAAAAATCCGGTGGAAGCCAAATGCGTCACGGCATTCATCGATGGTATGTCGACAATTGTATGACGCAATTATTTGCATGGATTGTGTTGTAAATGGCCTAAACACGTTTTCGAAGGTAACGAAAGTTGTGACCTTGGAATCAAAAAGTAGGACAATCGTATGATAGGTACCGGGCCATCTAGACTTATATTCGCATATGCAGTTAATCCTTTTGTCTGATGGATTGTCGACCACAAAATTCTTGTGACTGCCTTGGGACCTGAACTCTCCATTGTCACCCAGACGACCGACTATCGGGGGAGGGGGGTACTCCGTTGGCGTGAGTTACGCATCCTACCTCACCTTGTGTACTCGTTTGTAGGGCGGGCTACACTCTTCCAGTTGGACCTGTGTCTATATAAAAATTCAACGTGTTTAAGATGGATTGAAGATCGTATGGACATCTTCACACGATCACGGTGTACTTATAGGGTGCTCGAACCGAGTCATCCTTATCTCTACGAGATCGAATTGTACAAAGTTGATGCTTAATTCGCAAGCCATCTGACCACTGTAGACGTCTTGAGATCTTTAACTCTGCGTCCAACTGCATTTAAGGGGTTGTGGAGATATATTGCACATCAAGCCTTTAAATCCAGCAGCTATCTTTTTTTGTTGTTGGTCGATCTTATCAGACGTCGAAAGGCCAAACAATCCTACCCGGAGGGGAAATTTTTCGCTCTTAGAAGTGGATCATTTTCTCATGAAAATGTCATCCAGCCAAAACTTAACTCTTAAAGAAGCACATTCTGTATGTTAGGAAGGCTCACCATGCATCGCCTTGTGCTGTTGAGGTTTGTTTTTTTATCGTATCCGGTGGTCCATGCCAAGTTACCCTGTTCTGTCAACCCAATATCGCGGCGTACGAGATCGTGTCACCCAAGATCGCATCACCCAAAATCACGTTGCACGAGATCGTGGTGTGTAAAATACCTCATTTTGTTGCTCACGGCTACAGCAAAACTAATAATTTGTCGCAGTGCGTCGTCTGCGATCCAGACTTCTTGATCCGCTTCACTCTATTGGTCTCATGGAAGAAAATTGTAAGTTGTATATCAAATTTTGCAAAGGAAATGGCAACTACCTGACCACGTACAAACGGCGTTTACAAGTATAAATGGTTGGAATAACGGAGACCCTATTTCAGGATTTCTCGAACATTGTCCGCCATTATTGTGGATGCTAGAATAGGTCCCAAATTTGGCTATCCGTTATAATCAATTGTATATATACTCCTCCTACCCAACCAATTGGGTAACAGTCTTTCGGCAACTATCCGCCAAAAATATTTCATGTTTTATCGTAACTACCTGCTTTATGCAATTCAAATTGATTGATCTAGGATGGATTGATTCATCACTTTTTGCAACGGCCTTCGGTAGTGTTGCTCGGGGTGTATTATATACAAACTCAGTTATTGTGGATTCGTGTGAAATATACGTGCTCAATTATAATCCCTTGCCCCTTTAAGTTTTATCTCATTCGTATAAATAATTGTTTTGTGGACAGTCATGATGGAAGAGCCCGATTTAAAAAGTGATTTCAATCCTTTCCGGTTATATGCATGCTCATCATTCAACCTTAAGCCATTATTGCCTTTCTGCGTGTCAATTTTGAACGATGAACGATTTCGTTATGGTCGCTATCATTTGGCTTTACAGCTTTGCAGACAATTATTCTAGTCTCATGCACAATCTAGATCACAATGAGGCGTTTCTCATCACGTAGATAACTTTTGATTGGCAAATTAGTACAACTCAAGAAGTACAACAATGCAAAGCTGCCGTATGAAATCTAATTTGAGGCTTTCGGAGCTCTTCTCCCGGCATTTAATAAACCAAATTCGTCTTCGATCCGATGTTCGGGCGGAACAAGATAAATATGATTTAAAACTGGATCTAGATTGGGTAATGATGCTAAATATTGTAATGATCGCTGAAATGCAGGCGCGCATTTCCTTTGACACTTATAGCTCCGTTTGTGCGAAAATTATCGCATCTAATTTTTCGTGTTCGACACACGTCTGATACGTTCCCATGACTAAAGCTCACTCTCATTCAATACATTTTGCGCTAGTTTCATCTGCATGTACAAGTCAAATATTGCTTATTATACGACCAATGCTTTCTTCGGCCCGAAAAAGGTATAAGGCCCTGCTCAAGTTAACTAATGGTCAACAGTTGACGATTCAATACCCTGTGAAAGGTCACTTTGGCCGCCATATACCACTTCTCAATCGGTGTTGTTCATCAGGTGGAACCTGTCAAAATAATCTTTGATCACGACTTTTGCCAATGGGAGGAGGGTTCTACATTCTTTGGCCGCCTATTTCGCCAAGTCTAAACCATCTAGACTTATCCAATATATTCCAGTGTGCAAAAATAGGCGCTACTAATATTCGGCCTAATTCATCTGGAGCTTTGGTCTGCGATCTATAGGCGTGCGCCTCAATTCCGAGCTGACCATCCAGAGTTGCGGTTGCTTTCACATCATCGACGTTATCCACAATGGTCGATCTACGACTGGTTGATACCAGTTAACAAAGAATACGACTGTTGTAAATGAGTGCGGCAACAGCAATCAAGTGTGTTTTTGATATTGTAGAATTATATATACGAGATTGACATTCTCTTTTTTATCCAGCAGTTAAATCCGGAGTGAAACTTTAATTAAGTACGTTAGTTTACGCTTTT